AGGCACAGAGCCCTATCTCAGAACTCATTGATCTTATGCTTGTCTACCCTAAGACATTCAGCAGGAAGTTCAGAATTTTGCCAAGAAATACATGTGCCTTAGATGTATAAGCTTGGCATGAAATGGAAATTCAACCTGCCTGGTCAGTGGTCCTCTGGTGCATCCATACTCCTACCCATCTGCCAGAGTGGCTTTATGATTCCCCTCAAGATGGTTTGCCAGTTTAGGGTACAGACGCCAACTAAAAGTAAATTAGTTAAAAAAAAAAAAACCACATAGTTTAAAAATGTACCTACATTTTTTGTAATAGGATTCTCTCACTTCCAGTTAATGTAAATTAGGCTTTCAAATTTTGTTCAGTTGAGAGAGTATTTCATGTAAATTAGAAAGAGATGCCATTAATATATGGCTTTTGCCTTTTCACTAATTTTCCTTTAAAATTAAGAATTACCTAAAAATTCTGCCTACTGAAAGTTACTCATTAAATTATAAACTTTTTAGTTACCCTCATAGAACCTAACATAGTCATGCACAGGGTAGATGATTAGTAAATAACGACTTACATCAGATAGCAACTTATTAGTTTAAAATGGCTCTGAAAAAGTTTTATCACTTGTCAGATGATATTTTTTTTCCAGAATAACTTTTTCACCCAAAAATACACTAAATAAATATACTATAAGATGTGATATTTTGATATTATGCTTTCAGGCAAAAACACTCGCTAATTTACTCAATATAACAACTTCTAGTCAGAGAATATCATCTGGAAAAATTTGCATTGTATACCATGGTTAGAGGAGCAAAAATGTTCTTTCTTGCCAGTAAAGAATGAAGAGACAGCATCTTGTACACTTCTAAAAGTGTGCTATAACCCTATATTAAGTTCATGTGAAGGCAAGATAATCATGAGCCCCTAAAAGGCTGAAAAATTGATGGGGAAAATGGTGCAGAAAGAAGAACATACCTTCCAAAGAATGAAAACCTCACACTCCTCCTCCACCAGCCACCATCCATTATCAATTCTTCTTTTCCTCCTTCCATGAGTACAATAAACCTTTATTACATTATAGTTTATGTATAATCTACATTTGTGTACTTTCAAATGTTATCTATTATTTATATAAACTTGTTTTCATTGTTACTCATGATATATTTTTCTGTCTGTGAGAGGAGTTTGGGTATCTTGCGTGGGGATGAAATATATCTTAATTTTTACTGTTAAAATTAATGGAAATATTTTTTATGTTATAGCTTTTCACTAAAAAGCAGAATTTTGAGAAACAAGTTAACATCTTTAAGCAAGGGACAGATATACTCTATTCAAAGTTTCAAAAGGCATCACAGACCTAGAGAAGAAAGGAATTAATATCAACTGAGCATCCCACGTTTGTCAGGCACTGTTCCAGGTAAAAACATGTTAGTTCATCACCCAGTTGACAACAACCATGTGACAGAAGTATTGTTATTCTCTTTTCTGAAGATGAGAAAACTGAGACTCGATGTGAAATGAAGTGTTCAAGGTCACATAGCTGTTAAGTAGCAGAGCCAGAATTCAAATCCAATGTTGCCAAATCCAATGGTCATTTCTCTGTGTTTATCTTAACTTCATTTCTCATGAGCATTCAACACAATCAACAACTCCCTCCTTCTTGAAACACTGACCTCTTGGCCTCCAAATACCATACTCTACTGCTCCTGTTTTATTCCATCCTCACTAGCCACTAGCTCTTAGCCTCCACTCTTGAATCTACCTCTTCTACCTGACTTGTAAGTTCTAGGGTTCCTCAGACTCAGGCCAAAGCCCTCTTAGACTTGTCTGTTTTCCTGGATTATTTCATCCATTCCCATGGATTTAAATACTATCCTTATGCATATGGCTCCTAGATATGTATCTCTAGCCCTGATTTATATGAATTTCAGGTCTGAAAATCTCATGTCTACTCTGTTTCTTGACATTGCCACCTAAACATCGCAAAGGCATTGTAAACTTAATGTGCCCACAGAAGAAACCAAAAAAGAAATCATGATATCTACCCACCCAAATCTGTCCATCTTCCCCCATCTGAGTAAGTAGAAATTCTGTCCATTGCTTGTTCAAGCCAGAAATCTAAGAACCATCCTTCATTCCTTCCTTGCCATCATCCCCAATATCCAATCCATCAGCAAGTCTTGTTGTTTCTACTTCTAAAATATATCTTAAATTGCTCAACGTCTCTTCATCTCCACCACTACCACCTTAACTCAGGTCCTCATTATTTCTTATCTGTACTATGCAATAGCTTCACATCTACTCTTGAACCTTCTCTAATCCATTCTCCATACTGTAATAACAGTGAGCTTCTTAAAACATCAAATCAATCATTCTTCTGCTAAAAACCCTACAATGGCTGACCACTGCACTTAGGATAAAATCAAAACTCCATTTCATGATTTACAAAACTCTGCTTATCTTTCCAGCCTCATCTAATGCCACTCTCCCCCCCCCTTTTTTTTTTTGGTGGAGAAGATTAGCCCTGAGCTAACATCTGTTGCCAATCCTCCTCTTTTTGAGGAGGAAGATTGGCCCTGGGCTAACATCCGTGCCCATCTTCCTCTACTCTACTTTATATGGGATGCCGCCACAGCATGGCTTGACAAGTGGTGTGTCAATCCGTGCTAGGGATGGAACCCGTGAACCCCAGGACGCTGAAGCAGAGCGGGCAAACTTAACCACTATGACACTGGCCGGCCCCAACTCTCTCCCCTCTTTTCACTACACTCTAATTCACACTGATCTTTCAGCACCCAGAACACACAAAGCTCTTTTCAGCGTCAAGGCTTTTTAAGATGCTGTTCCCTCTACCTAAAACACTTCCCCATTAATTACCTAGCTAGTTCCTTCTCATACTGAGTCACTACCTCAAAGAGACAGTCCCAAACCACACTGTCAAGAGTCCTTTGTTTGTTTCCTTGTGGCACTTATTATATTTTGTAATTGTTTTATGTATTTGTCTTTTTGTTGTCTACCAAAATAGAACATAAGCTCCATAAAGGTAGAGACAATTAGTTAACTTATTTATATTGTTAATTAGTATTTCCAGTGCCTGCCCCAATACAGCTCTCAATAAATACTTGCTGAATGAATGAAAACCAGATGAGTCTGATTCTAAAAACAATGTTCTTTCCACTATATCATGCTGCCACCTTAAAGGATCTTACAAATCATCTAGTCCAAACCTCTCATTTTACAAATGTAAAACTGAGATCCAGAAAGACAAGTGATTTGCCCAAGGACACACAGTAATAAGTGACAGAACCACAATGACTCCAGGCTTTCTGACTTCTGATTCAGACTTTTTGTTACATACCACATTGCCTTATGCTGATAGCCCCACCCAAAAATACGCCTAAGTTTTCCGCAAAGTGGCCAAAGATACCAGTAAACAATTTGCAACCATTTACTACCTCAGATAATATAAGAAAAGAAAAAATATATATAACAGTAGTACACAAAGCAATTGGTTGTCAAAATCTTTTAAAAATTGTTTTTGTTTTTAAAAGAAAAACTTAAAAATAGAGGCAAATGGTTCTCTATTTTATATTACGTGAATCATTTACTTCACAATATATAGATAAAAATTTATTTCATATGGATAATACATTTAGAATAAACTTACTTAGGGAAATCATACTTTACTTCTAAAAATTTACTTTAAGTTTTCCCAATAGCTGGTAACTCTCTAAAATTCATACAAAATATAAAATTCATGTAATTTTGAAACTAAACAAGAAACTAAGCAAAATATCTGCAGTTAATAATAACCACAGATAAAAGAAGAAACAATCAAACCCAGGAATCCTATATTATCTACTTGGAGAATCTAATCACTGGTCTGCAAAGTTTTTAGCATGTGTCTTATTTACTCAGTTCATGAATCAATGCAGTCTACATTGTCACAACTACATTGTCACAACTCCAGCTCCTTCTACTTCTCCAGAACCCAAATCAAATAGCTACTAAACTGTCTCAAGCTACTACCGTCACCTGGTGACTAATGGAGGAATCTTTGATCCAACTTTTCTTTGCGGACAACTTTTTACTTCCTTATTAAGCACATGGTATCCACACTCACTATTCTGTCTACTTGTGTTTAGATATTTAAATTTCCATAATAAAAAGTTAGAAAATTTAACCTGTCATTAACCATTTAGTCCTTAAAAACAGATATGTCTCCATCTACCACCTTCCTCATCTCCTCAAGAACTCTACATAACTTTCAGAAATATTAAAAATAAAATACAAATTCTTTTCTTTTACTTTTAGCATTACAACAGTATTTATTACTGCAAATGATAAATATTTCAGCTATATTATAGTTCAAATAGATTTATGTAGGCTATCCTAGTGAACGAGACATTATTTACAGCATGCTACAGAAAAAAAAAATCTGCTTCTACAGAATTTTGCTTGGTTTCCAACTTCCCTAAAGTTACTATGCTAAACTTTCAAAGTTTGTCTTAGTCCATACAGGCTGCTATAACAAAAACACCATAATCTTGGTGGCTTAAACAACAAATATTTATTTCTTACAGTTCTGAATGCTGGGAAGTCCACGATCAAGGCGATGGCAGACTTGCCATCGGGTGAGAATCCACTTCCTAGTCCTGAGATGGCTGTCTTTTCAGTGTGTCCTCAAAGGGCAGTAATCCCATACATGAGGGCTCTGCCCTCATGACCTAATCATCTCCCCAAGGCCCCACCTCCATATACCATTACACTAGGGATTAGGTTTCAACATATGAATTTGGGAGGACATAAAGATTCAGTCTACAGCAAAGTTCTTTTCATGTAATCAGTCATGTTTATTGTTTTTCCCTCATAAAGATTTTACAATTATTATAAATACCTTTGTTATTTACCTACCAGTTGTTCTGAATGTTGTGTCTTTTAATTTTCATTGGATCTTTTTAGTCCACCAGATGTGTCTCTTGCTGCTGCCAATTAGTATGCAAATTACCTCAGAATATAATGGACATCTATAGATTTCAAGGCTCTGATTTAAAAGTTGTCATTTAGAATCTGGCAAAACAGTCCTGTTGGAAAAGTTTCAAAAGATGAATTTTAGTAGTAGAGCTCGGAGCTCCTTCTCACCCACTTTAGGAACACAAAATCCTGCATCTCAAACATACTAACAACCCACTATTAGTACGCATTACAGTGGAATACTGCTAAAAGCATGAGTAAATCATGTCCACTATGTACAACATGGAACACTCTCCCATTCTATCATGAAAAGCTCCAAACCTGTGCTGTCCAATAGTGTAGCCAATAGCAACCTGTGGCTTACTGAGCACTGGAAATGTGACTAGCCTTAATTGATATGTGCTGTAGTATAAAATACACACTTGATTTTTGAAGACTTAGTATAAATAAGTTATGTTAAATATCTCAGTAATTTTTATATTGATTACATGTTGAAATGATACTATTTTGGATCGATTCGGTTACATAAAATACATTATTAACATTAATTTCACCTGTTTCTTTTTACTTTTTTTAGTGTAACTAGTATAAAATTTTAAATTACATACATGACTCACATTTGTGACTCACATTATATTTCTATAGGACAGCACTGGCCCCACTGTAATAAATAAAGTTCTACTGCACCTAAACAGTTTATTCCTCCTCCTCTTACAAAAAACGAAATCCTCCTCATGATGATAATGAAGATGATGATAATAATGATGATGATAATATCTTAAATTTTACAAAGTACTTTAAAATATATGTCCTCATTTGATTCTCTTGATCTACTTTGATTTAGTACATCTCTCCACATCAACGCAAACCATCATCATCTAGGATCCTTGGATTTCTGTAATGCTTTGGTTGGGGAAAATCTATTTTCCAGAATTGAATTAAAAATAGAACAAAAATATCAGGACACTAGTAGATAAAGCCTTTGAGGACATCCATATTTCTATAGTTAAGTTAGTTATTGGCATTTGTTTTCCCCCAAAGAAAGAACTTTTGATTAATGTGTTGTGGTAGATAGCCCATAGAAGCAAGGTCCTTAAATGAAAATGCATACTTTAAATGAGAGTAGCAAGGGAAAAAAAGGAGAAGGAGAGACAGAAACATCATAGGAATAGATAATAAATACTAATCTCCTCTCTGCTCAAAGCAGAAGTACTATGTATTCAAGAACATTGTAACAGCTAAAGGAGTTTATTACTAGAACACTGCTTAGCCAAGGGAGTAAAAAAGAAAATGAAAACAACAGTTCAATGATTTTGAAGTTTTACTTTTTCCCAACCACCCTAAGTTCTCTGAGATAACACAAATTAGCAAAAATCCATTGCTTTGCCCTGTATCAAATGATAGGTAGTGAGAAATTCCAGAGTCCTAATCACCAAAGAGTAGCGTTATGACATTTTCAGAAATAGGCATTAGTAAGCTTAATCAGTATCCATTTACCATTTTTCTCCTGGGCAAGTTCAAATGCTTCATATTAGAGATCATTTATTCCAACAATCATAAAGGAATTGTTACAATTCTGCGGTCTGAGCAACTGGGAGTATAAATTGGCACAGGGACTTCGGAAAAACTTTGGCATTATTTTCTGCTTCTAAGAATATACTCAACAGTAAATGCATGCACATTTATATCAAAAACATATACAAAAATGTTATAGCAGCATTATTGATAATAGCCAAGAACTGGAAACAACCCATACAACCATCAACAGGTAAATTCATGTGTTAAATGAGATTAACAGGAAAAAAAAGGAGAAAGGACAGAAACATCATAGGAATAGATAATAAATACTAATCTCCTCTCTTCTTAAAGCAGAAGTGCTATGTATCCATTTAAGGACCTTGCTTCTACGGGCTATATACCACAACACATCAATGGAACACTATACAGAAATAAAATGAACCAACCACTATTACATAATGACAGTAATGATTCTCACAAATATAACACTGTGTAAAAGAAGTTAGATATAAAAGAATATATACTGTATGGTTCTTTTTAAATGAAGCTAAAAAACAGGGAAAATTAATATATGTTCTTAGAAGTCAAGATAGCTGTCTTTGGGGAGGAAGAGAAGGTAGTAACTGGGAGGGAAGAAAGAATTAAGAGACACTGAAAATGTTTTATTTCTTGACCTGGGTAGTGTTTCGTAGATACATTAATCTTATGACAACTGAACTGTACACTTAACGATTTGTGTAAAAAAACTGTGTAAAAAAACTTGTGTAAAAAAAATTTGCACTTTTCTGTATATCTATTATACTTCCATAAAAAGCATTTATTAAAAAAATTAATTTCTGTGGTCATACTAAAATTTTGTTTTATATTACTAATTAAATTAAGACATTTGAAACTTAGGTATATTTTTGTTAAATTGAGATTTGTTTCTAAAAGACGATTTTAGAGCCAGCCCTGATGGCCTAGTGGTTAAGGTTCGGCACGCTCTGCTTCGGTGGCCTGGATTCGGTTCCCTGACTTGTCTGTCAGTAGCCATGCTGTGGTAGTGGCTCACACAGAAGAACTAGAGGGACCTACAACTAGAACATACAACTATGTACTGGGGCTTTGGGGAGGAAAAAGAAAAAAGAGAGGAAGATTGGCAACAGATGTTAGCTCAGTGCTAATCTCTCCCAGCAAAAAAAAATAAGAACTTAAAAAAGTAATTAAATAAAGAGGATTTTATCCTTAACATTACTTTCATATTCTTTAAATTCACAGAATTACAGAGGTTTAAGGATAGAAGAAACAGAATAAACTAATTTGGCTCTGAGAGAGGTTAGGTGACTTGGCTATGATTAAATTAATAGCAGTGATGGGAATAAAACTCAGAACTTCCATGTTGCATTGTAGGACTTTTAAAGTTTTTAACTTAAGTGGAGTTAGACTCCATTAGAGAGACTTGGATTCCCTCTACAGTCTTGATGGTTTATAACGCTAAAAGGACAAAAATTATAAGTCACTGAATGTCAGTCATTCATTCTTCCATTTAAGTTATAATAAAATAATGAATAAATCATAAAACAAGTGAGGAAAGTCATACTTGGCCTTTTGGTGAGGAACTTTACAAGAAGTGGCAACCCATGTACTTTGAACATTTTTTCAAAACTTACTCTTTATGAAGACAGTTACAGAATTTTTGTGTTCAACCAAATACTGTATTAAAAACAGAATAGTCTTGGGGCCAGCCAAGTGGTATAGCGGTTAAGTGTGCACGCTTCGCTGCAGCGGCCTGGGGTTCGGATCCTGGGTGTGCACCAACGCACCACTTGTCAAGCCATGCTGTGGCGGCATCCCATATAAAATGGAGGAAGATGGGCACGGATGTTAGCCCAGGGCCAGTCTCCCTCAGCAAAAAGAGGAGGACTGACGACAGATGTTAGCTCAGTGCTAACCTTCCTCACAAAAAAAACCCCACAGAATAGTCTCAATACATATCACCTCTTTCTCTTTCACGTTTTGTAACCTGTTAGTAGACAAGTTTAGGAGCAACAAATCAGGAGCTGTTAATTCCTGCTGGAAATGCACCTACATTTGAGCTACTAGCAATTCTCAAGATCCAAGGATATAACCACTTATTCTCTTTGTTTCCTTCAGACTTTCAAATATGGCAATTCTTCCTCTTTGTTCTTTTTTTTTTTAAGAAGAAGCTGTTCTTCTGGCTCAGAAATTTAAAATAAGCTATGGCAACATCCCTTATGTCTGGTCTTTTCCTGTTTAATTTTTTTTTTATAACTATTTTGTTTTGAGGGAGAGGGAGGAAGGCGAGTTCTAAGAAAAGCTTTCATAACGGGTTCAAAAGTATAAAAGCCATTTCAAGCTCCAGACATTTGTAGCCTTCATTTCTTTAGTCCTTGAAAGGGCTTTTTAAATGTTAACAGCTAGGACAGGACTGCTTTCCTATCCTGATACTCCACGTTCATTTCCTTTGAAGTCTTGGGTTCTTCCCCACCCTCAATCTCCCAATAACCTCCATGCCAGCTTCTTTTTCAAAACAAAACAAACAAAAACAAAAAATGAGAGAGAGAGAAAGATTTCATTCATTACAATGTGCAGGCAGACTTCTAAGATCCCATACAGAGTGGCCACCCCTTGTAATTTAGAGTATTAAAACATTTTTCCTATAATTTCTTCCATATTTGGTGATTTCATGCACCTATTTAATATGCTTTCATTTTTTAAATAATGACATGTCACCTGCAAAGTTATTAGAGCTAAAGTAGCTAACAAGATTTGTTAGCCCCCTCTCCTTAGAAACGCTGAAATACAATCTTCAAAAACTAAATGTCAAAAAGGTGCTCATTTATATACTCAAGTTAAAAAAGAAAGAAGGCTTAAATCAATATAGGACACAGTATTTCATTCTATTTTATCCATTTATTCTATTTTAGAAAAAAATTACCCAAATACAAAAAATAAGTCTGAAACACTGTATTCCAAAGTCTTAACAGGAATTATTATTTCTGGGTGTGAATTCATAAATGCTTTTATCTTTTAATTTTCTTCTTGCTTATGAATATATTTTAATTCATCTTAAGTGTACATGCATTGTTTGTGACAAGGGAAAATGTTACTCAGTTTAAAAAATAAGTGCTGTTTATTACTTTTCAGCACAACATATGAGCACTTCTTAAAAATTAATACATATATTTACATTTAACTATTTATTGGTGTATTATATAAATAGATAAAAATTCTAAAGTATAATTTCCAAAATGGTAAAATCATGACTCTCATATAGATATAAAAAAAATGAGTCAAAATGTTGTGCCAGAGATTTTATTTAACTTGTTAATTAATGAGGAAACCAGTAAGAAGTGAAAAACAATTCATAATAGAATTTGACGTATGGACATCTATATTTTCTACTGGACAAAATCTATTTGCATTGCCAAGAATAGGAATCATTCGCATTGTTATGGGCAGAAAACATTTGCACTGTTTTCAGTTTTCTACAATTTAACTTATCCCTACAGAGTTGTAAAATAGCCTAGTTGATCAAAGATGATCAAAAGTGCACACTCATTTAGAATCAGATGAACCCTAGAGGGTCCCT